CTGAGTTCAAATCCCCATGAATAGATTGCTAACCTTATGATCTTGAACAAGAAAACAGAGATAGTGATATTACCTACTTCCTAGAATGGTTTATGTGAATTAAATAAGAAAATCCTATTCAGGAATTTGGCATGATCCTAGCATACTTTATTCGATGCCCATTTGTTGTTGTTTTCTTATAAAGCACTGCATAGTATGTGACCTACAGAATTTAATGGTAGGTAGCTATTATTGTCCCAATGAGAACATGTGTAGTTGTCATATTTGCTGATTTGGGAGATTATAAAATTATAGTCTCCATATTAAGTCATTTTTGAAGATCTAATCCAACCATTCATTGTCATCTATCAATTAGAGCTGGTTAATAAGGGGCTCCATTAGGTGCAGAAGCAAGGATCTAACAGATACCCCATGATGGATGAACTTGCAGAAATTTAGGAAACAGTGCCAGGGGATGAGCTAACTATATCATGAAAAAGGAGTTTTCCTTTTCTTCCCCCTACTGCCAAAAGGCCAGGAAAACCATGAGAAGCAGAAGAAATACTGTGGAAATTTGAGCCTGAAGAGAGGTAGGCAGTTTAATGTCTTTTCTTTTCTTTTCTTTTTTTCCTGATTAGGCTGGAAATACTCAGACTTCTCTTACTGGGAAAAGTTGATGAGAAGGAAACATTTTTTTTGCTCTTTTGCACTTTGTTTTTTTCCAGCCTTATTGAGATATAATTGACATAAAATTGTGTAAGCTGAAGGTGCACAATGTGTGGGTTTGATACATTTATATATTATAAATGATTACCACCATAGCATTAGCTAACATCTCCATCCCATCACATACCTACCATTTCTTTTTTGTGGTGAGAACATGTAAGATCTACACTCGTTGCAACTTTCAATTATATAATTCAGTATTATTAGCTATAATCACAATGTTATACATTAGATCCCCAGAAATTATTCATCTTATAACTGGAAGTTTGTACCCTTTAACCAATCTCTCTCCATTTTGCCCAGCCCTAGCCCCTGATAATCACCACTCTTCTCTTTATTTTGCTTAGTTCAGCTTTTTTAAATTCCACATATAAGTGCTATGTACAGTATTTGTCTCTGTCTGTCTGACTTATTTCACTTAGCATAATGCCCTCAAGTTTTATCCAAGTTGTCACAAATGGCAGGATTTCTTTCTTTCTCGTGGCTAAATAGTATTTATTCTATATATATATATATATATATATATATATATATATATCACATTTTCTTTATCCATTCATCCATTGACAGACACTTAGGTTGTTGTCATATCTTGGCTATTGTGAAAAATGCTGCAATTAACATGGGAGGACAGATATCTCTACAAGATCCTGATTTTAATCCCTTTGAATACATGCCCAGAAGTGGGATTTCTGGGTCATATGGTAGTTGTATTTTTAATTTTTTAAGGAATCTCCATACTGTTATCCATAGTGGCTGCACAAATTTACATTCTCGCTAACAGTACACAAAGGATCCCTTTTCTCCACACCCTCATCAACACTTGTTTTCTCTAGATAATAGTCATTCTAACAGGTGTCAGGTGATCTCTCATTGTGTTTTTGACCTGAATTTCCCTGATGATTAGTGATGTTGAACTCCTTTTCATGTGCCTATTACTCATTCATATGTCTTCTTTGGAAAACTATCTATTCCATTCCTCTGCCCATTTTTTTTTAACATCTTTATTGGTGTACAATTGCTTTACAATGGTGTGTTAGTTTCTGCTTTATAACAAAGTGAATCAGTTATACATATACATATGTTCCCATATCTCTTCCCTCTTGCGTCTCCTTCCCTCCCACCCTCCCTATCCCACCCCTCCAGGCGGTCACAAAGCACTGAGCCGATATCCCTGTGCCATGCGGCTGCTTCCCACTAGCTATCTACCTTACGTTTGTTAGTGTGTATATGTCCATGACTCTTTCTCGCCCTGTCACAGCTCACCCTTCCCTCTCCCCATATCCTCAAGTCCGTTCTCCAGTAGGTCTGTGTCTTAATTCCTGTCTTACCCCTAGGTTCTTCATGACATTTTTTTTTCTTCTTAAATTCCATATATATGTGTTATCATACGGTACTTGTTTTTTTCTTTCTGACTTACTTCACTCTGTATGACAGACTCTAGGTCTATCCACCTCATCACAAATAGCTCAATTTCGTTTCTTTTTATGGCTGAGTAATATTCCATTGTATATATGTGCCACATCTTCTTTATCCATTCATCTGATGATGGGCACTTAGGTTGTTTCCATCTCCAGGCTATTGTAAATAGAGCTGCAATGAACATTTTGGTACATGACTCTTTTTGAATTTTGGTTTCCTCAGGGTATATGCCCAGTAGTGGGATTGCTGGGTCATATGGTAGTTCTATTTGTAGTTTTTTAAGGAACCTCCATACTGTTCTCCATAGTGGCTGTACCAATTCACATTCCCACCAGCAGTGCAAGAGTGTTCCCTTTTCTCCACACCCTCTCCAGCATTTATTGTTTCTAGATTTTTTGATGATGGCCATTCTGACTGGTGTGAGATGATATCTCATTGTAGTTTTGATTTGCATTTCTCTAATGATTAATGATGTTGAGCATTCTTTCATGTGTTTGTTGGCAGTCTGTATATCTTCTTTGGAGAAATGTCTATTTAGGTCTTCTGCCCATTTTTGGATTGGGTTGTTTGTTTTCTTGTTATTAAGCTGCATGAGCTGCTTGTAAATTTTGGAGATTAATCCTTTGTCGGTTGCTTCATTTGCAAATATTTTCTCCCATTCTGAGGGTTGTCTTTTGGTCTTGTTTATGGTTTCCTTTGCTGTGCAAAAGCTTTGAAGTTTCATTAGGTCCCATTTGTTTATTTTTGTTTTTATTTCCATTACTCTAGGAGGTGGGTCAGAAAGGATCTTGCTGTGATTTATGTCATAGAGTGTTCTGCCTATGTTTTCCTCTAAGACTTTGATAGTTTTTGGCCTTACATTTAGGTCTTTAATCCATTTTGAGCTTATTTTTGTGTATGGTGTTAGGGAGTGATCTAATCTCATACTTTTACATGTATCTGTCCAATTTTCCCAGCACCACTTATTGAAGAGGCTGTCCTTTCTCCACTGTACATTCCTACCACCTTTATCAAAGATAAGGTGTCCATATGTGCATGGGTTTATCTCTGGGCTTTCTATCTTGTTCCATTGATCTATCTTTCTGTTTTTGTGCCAGTACCATACTGTCTGGATTACTGTAGCTTTGTCTGAAGTCAGGGAGCCTGATTCCTCCAGCTCCGTTTTTCGTTCTCAAGATTGCTTTGGCTATTCGGGGTCTTTTGTGTTTCCATACAAATTGTGAAATTTTTTGTTCTAGTTCTGTGAAAAATGCCATAGGTAGTTTGATAGGGATTGCATTGAATCTATAGATCGCTTTGGGTAGTAGAGTCATTTTCACAATGTTGATTCGTCCAATCCAAGAACATGGTATATCTCTCCATCTATTTGTATCATCTTTAATTTCTTTCATCAGTGTCTTATAATTTTCTGCATACAGGTCTTTTGTCTCCTTAGGTAGGTTTATTCCCAGATATTTTATTCTTTTTGTTGCAATGGTAAATGGGAGTGTTTTCTTGATTTCACTTTTAGATTTTTCATCATTTGTATATAGGAATGCCAGAGATTTCTGTGCATTAATTTTGTATCCTGCTACTTTAGCAAATTCATTGATTAGCTCTAGTAGTTTTCTGGTAGCATCTTTAGGATTGTCTATATATAGTATCATGTCATCTGCTCTGCCCATTTTTTAATAGGATTGTTCGTGGTTTTGCTATTGAGTTGTATGAGTTCCTTATATATTTTCATATTAATCCCATATCAGATATGTGACTTGAAAATATTTTCTCCCATTTCATGGATTATTTTTCATTTTGTTGATTGTTTCTTTTGCTGGGCAGAAGGTTTTAGTTTGATATAGTTCCGTTTGTTGATTTTTGCTTTTGTTACTGTGTTTTTCATGTCATATAAAAAAAAAATCATCACCAAGACCAATGTCAAGGAGGTTTTTCCCTAGGTTTTCTTCCAGGAGTTTTACAGTTTCAGGTCTCATATTTAAGTCTTTAACCACTTTGAGTTCATTGTTGTGAGTAGTGTAAGATAGGGGTCCAGTTTTATTCTTCTGCATGTGATTATCCAGTTTCAGTTTTCTCAGCACCTTTTATTGAAGACACTATCCTTTCCCTATTGAATATTCTTGGCTCGTTTGTCAAATATTAGTTGACCTATATTCAGGGGTTTATTTCTGGGCTCTTGATTCTGTTTCATTGGTCTGTGTGTCTATTTTTATGCCAGTACCATACTTTTTGGATTACTTTTGTAGTATAGTTTCAAATCAGTAAGTATGATATCTCCAGCTATTTCTTTCTCAGGATTGCTTTGGCTATTTTGGGTCTTTTGTGGCTCCATACAAATTTTAGAATTTTTTTTTTTGCATTTTTGTGGAAAATGCATTAAAATTTTTAATTTTATAGGAACTACATTAAATCTATACAAAGAAACATTTTTTTTTTTCCGGTATGCGGGCCTCTCACTGTTGTGGCCTCTCCCGTTGCAGAGCACAGGCTCTGGACGTGCAGGCTCAGCAGCCATGGCTCACGGGCCCAGCTGCTCTGCGGCATGTGGGATCTTCCCAGACCGGGGCACGAACCCATGTCCCCTGCATCAGCAGGCAGACTCTCAACCACTGAGCCACCAGGGAAGCCCCACAAAGAAACAGTTTTCAATGCAAAGTTAATTAAAGGACCCCATGGGCCTGGGGCCCCCGCCAGTGTAGCAGGTGGAGTTGAATCCCTCCTATAGTGTACTCATCAGGCTACCTCTGGGAAGAAGGAGTAACTTTTTCTAATTTGCACAAAGTGCTTTATATGCAAGGATGGCCATGAATCCTGAACGCTTACATGGTTTTTTTGTTTGTTTTATTTTTCACCACGCCACTAGCCTTGTAGGATCTTAATTCCCCGAGCAGGTATCAAACCTGGGCCCCAGCAGTGCAAGTGCAGAGTCCTAACCACTGGACCACCAGGGAATTCCCCCTACATGTTTTTCTGGCCCTAATCTTGTCTCATGTGTTACCATTTTGTCTTAGTAAGTTTCTAAATTTCTTCAGCTAACTCCCTGATATAATTTGAAATCAGGAATTTTCTCAGAGCAATGAAGAACTGGATACTACTTTCAGGAAAAGCTTTTAATATATTCCCTCTTAGAGAGAACCACACTCCATATTATGGGTCTTAATGCCACTATATAAATAAATTCTGGAATAAATACTGGAAAAATCAGCAGTGTCACTCCCTACCATAGCACTTACCTAAAGAAGATGGAGAATTAGAAATCTTAGGAAACCTGAATCTGGGGCTTTGGCTTAGCCTTACCAATTCTCCCCAAAACTGGAGCCTGCTTCTGAACTTCAACAGTTAACTAAAAACCTATGTTCCCCAAGGCTCATCAGGATTTCTTTATTTTCCTCACACCTTACTGACTTTAGGATTCACTGCATGATATACCAGCTACACACTATTTCATTATGAACCTTCCACATGCTTATTCTGAAGCCAACCTATCTGGAGTCAATTGCCAGTGTCACCAGTTACTGTGTGGCCATAAACAAATTATTTAACATTTTTGAGATTTAGTTTCTTCATTTGTAAAATGGGGGTGATAACAGGCATAATTTGTATGACAATTGAATGGTTTAATATTTCAAAGTGCTTAGAACTTTAAAAAGTGCCTGGCACTCAATAAATGTTTGCACTAGTAGCAGCTGTACTCAGTCTCTTATTACCTGCTACCATGGTGTCCAAATGCTGAGCACAACATTCTGACTGGATTGTTCTCCTCTGAGTCAATCCAGCTGGTGAACCAATCTGAATCAATCTGAATCAATCTGGCTGGTGTTCCTGGTGTCTGAGTGTGACCTAACCAATTATGAGTTCAATAATCATGATAGATAAGACCATTTCTCATATTTCATATAGTTTTATATAGCCGTGGGCTATTATATGGTGTTAAAAGAACTGACTGTTCAATATATATAATGATAGACTGATGTAACAATTGGCTATATACTTCAAATAACACTTAAAGGCAAAAATTGGCTTTGTTCTTTTGAACATTAATATTTACATCTTATTCTTTTAACTGAATATTGGACTTTAGTCCAAAGAGGTGCCAACATAATTTGACTTTGAAAATTCAAAGCCTTAAAGGAACAAAAGGAAAATTTGCATATTGACACAGCACACATATAATTGTCCCCAATATTCAATATAGGAAACCAATACACAATTATTTCAGCAAATTAAAGATAATTTTTATAATATATTATAGCTATTTACCCTCCTAACAACTTTTAGAACCACAGAATATGTGGACATATGATTTTATTTACAGATCTAGTCATGCTCATTTACTTAGTCCTAGTAATAAAATCCTTGGTAGATTTCTGGGTTACCAGCCATGTGACTTTAGGCAAGTGTTGGTTTCCTCATCAGTAACAAGCAAAAATAGAATCTCTATTCATATACGTGTTGTGAGAATTGAACGAGTTAATGGTCCTTAGCCCGGTACCTGGAAGGACAAATGTTAGCATTCATCATAATCATCTTCTTCTTCTTCTTCCAAACACCTCAGTAACTCATATCTATATAATACCTTTTAACTGACAAAATAGAAGAAATAGTGAGGTGAAAAAAACAAATCTGCAATCACCTAAGCAAAATAATCAGTGCCTATGGCTGGAAAGAATTTAGGCAAATTAAGAAACCAAAAGATACTTAAATGTTTGTCTTTTTTTTTTTTTTTTAAGCTAGAGAGCATTTTAGGAGATGGGTTTTCTCTCTGGCAGCACTGCCTTATATAATTTCATAAAGGTGCAAATCATTAATACAAGACTATCCTTTAAGAGGAGCAAGAGAGCATATGAGTACTAGACCTTTCAGAAGAATAAAAGTGAAGGGGAGAACTATATATGGAACATGATTTTGCTGCCAACAAAGAAGCAAGTAGAGCCCCTTGGCCTTTCACTGTGCTAAGCCTGGTTGGAGAAGGCCTGCAGAAGCTTATAGTAGCAACTCTCAAAATGTGGTCTCTGGACCAGCAACCTCACCTTTACCTGCAATTTGTAAAAAAATACAAGCTCTCAGGCTTTATCCCTGAAACTCTGAGATTAAATTCAGTCATTCTCCTGCAAGCTAAAGTCTGAGAACCACTAGCTTACAAAAAACTCAGAAAAACAGAGAAGTAAACAGGAAGATACAACCCTCTGTGATAAGTACTCTGTACAATGGTGTTATTCCCAGGGAACTACTGGGGCAAACCAGGGGGATAACTTACTCCAATCCAGAATAGGAGGTAAGTATGAGATAAACCTTCAAATATTTATGTGAATCATTCAGCTAAAGGACGAATAAAGGACTGGCTTAGAGTCCAGAACTCTGTACTTCCATAGAACACTGAACAGAGTTCTACCATAAATAGTTATAGTTAATATTTGTTTAGCATTTCTTATTTGGCTGGAGTTATTTTAAACCCTTTACATACACTATTATATTTAATACTTAGGACATCCCTTATAAGAAAAGTAGCACTATTCTCCCTACTTTGTTGAAAGGAAACTAAGGTTTATAAAGTAAATATTCCTGAAAAGATGGGCAGGAAAATGTGATCAAGACTACATATGGAGGGTTTTGCTTTTTGTGTGGGAGGAGGTAGACCTCCCTATAGTCATAGAAGGAGAAAAGATGCATGCGGAATGGATAGGTTCATAGATTTTGTCTACAAATATCATCTACTGAGTAAAAAGCAATGACTGGAGCCCAGTCAGTACGGCAGCAGAGTCCACGATGCTAACCATTCCATTTTCCTTTTTTTTTTTTAAACATCTTTATTGGAGAATAATTGCTTTACATTGTTGTGTTAGTTTCTGCTGTATAACAAAGTGAATCAGCTATACATATACATATATCCCCATATCCCCTCCCTTTTGTGTCTCCCTCCCACCCTCCCTATCCCACCTCCTTAGGTGGTCACAAAGCACCAAGCTAATCTCCCTGTGCTATGTGGCTGCTTCCACTAGCTATCTATTTTACATTTGGTTGTGTATATATGTCAAAGCCACTCTCTCACTTCGTCCCAGCTTACCCTTCCCCTGCCCCGTGTCCTCAAGTCCATTCTCTACATCTGTGTCTTTATTCCTGAACTGCCCCTATGTTTTTCAGAACCTTTTTTTTTCTTTTTAGATTCCATATATATGTGTTAGGTTATGGTATTTGTTTTTTCCTTCTGATTACTTCACTTTGTATGACAGATTCCAAGTCCATCCACCTCACTACAAATACTCAATTTCGTTTCTTTTAATGGCCGAGTAACATTCCATTGTATATATGTGCCACATCTTCTTTATCCATTCATCTGTCGATGGACACTTAGGTTGCTTCCATGTCCTGGCTATTGTAAATAGAGCTGCAATGAACATTGTGGTACATGACTCTTTTTGAATTATGGTTTCGTCATGGTATATGCTCAGTAGTGTTATTGCTGGGTCGTATGGTAGTTCTATTTTTAGTTTTTTAAGGAGCTTCCATACTGCTCTCCATAGTGGCTGTATCAATTTACATTCCCACCAACAGTGCAAGAGGGTTCCCTTTTCTCCACACCCTCTCCAGAATTTAATGCCTGTAGATTTTTTGATGATGGCCATTCTGACAGATGTGAGGTGATACCTCATTGTAGTTTTGATTTATATTTCTCTAATGATTAGTGGTGTTGAGCATCCTTTCATGTGTTTGTTAGCAATCTGTATATCTTCTTTGGAAGAATGTCTATTTAGGTCTTCTGCCCATTTTTGGATTATGGTGTTTGTTTTTTTGCTATTGAGCTGCATGTGCTACTTGTATATTTTGGAGATTAATCCTTTGTCAGTTGCTTCATTTGCAAATATTTTCTCCCATTCTGAGGGTTGTCTTTTTGTCTTGTTTATGGTTTGCTTTGCTGTGAAAAAGCTTTTAAGTTTCATTAGGTTCTATTTGTTTATTTTTGGTTTTGTTTCCATTTCTTTAGCAGGTGGGTCAAAAAGGAACTTGCTGTGATTTATGTCATAGAGTGTTCTGCCTATGTTTTCCTCTAAGAGTTTTATTGTATCTAGACTTACACTTAGGTCTTTAATCCATTTTGAGTTTATCTTTGTGTATGGTGTTAGGGAGTGATCTAATTTCATTTTTCCATGTAGCTGCCTGGTTGTCCTAGCACCTGTGTACTCTTGCCTCCTTTATAAAAGATAAGATGACCATATGTTCATGGGTTTCTCTCTAGGCTTTCTATCCTGTTCCATTGATCTATATTTCTGTTTTTGTGCCAGTACCATACTGTCTTGATTACTATAGCTTTGTAGAAGAGTGTGAAGTCCAGGAGCCTGATACCTCCAGCTCCATTTTTCTTTCTCAAGATTGCTTTTCCTATTCGGGGTCTTTTGTATTTCCATACAAATTATGAAATTTTTTGTTCTAGTTCTGTGAAAATTGCCATTGGTAGTTTGATATGTATTGCATTGAACTGCAGATTGCATTGGGTACTATAGTCATTTCCACAATGTTGATTCTTCCAATCCAAGAACATGATATATCTGTCCAACAGTTTGTATCATCTTTAATTTCTTTCATCAGTGTCTTACAGTTTTCTGCATACATGTCTTTTGTCACCTAAGCTAGGTTTATTCTTACATATTTTATTCTTTTTGTTGCAATGGTAAATGGGAGTGTTCCTTAATTTCTCTTTCAGGCCTTCCATCATTAGTGTATAGGAATGCAAGAGATTTCTGTACATTAATTTTGTTTCCTGCTACTATAGCAAACACATTGATTAGCTCTAGTAGTTTTCTGGTAGCACCTTTAGGATTCTCTATGTATAGTATCATGTCATCAGCAAACAGTGACAATTTTACTTCTTCTTTTCTGATTTGGATTCATTTTACTTCTTTTTCTTCTCTGATTGCTGTGGCTAAAACTTCCAAAACTATGTTGAATAATAGTA